AATTTTCTGGTAAAAAAAAATGCAACTATTTTTTTTACTTTTTGTTTTTTTTCTTTTTGCATTGATAAGTTGAAAGGCTTCTGTGTTCAGTGTTTGCTGAAACTCATTTTGTGCTCTGCAGGCATTTTCCTTCTGTGTACTGTTACCAGCCCTTGTGTACCTCACCGGGCATGCTATTGTGTTTTAGTATTCCTTCGTGTGCTGACTGCTAAAGGGGAAAAAAAATCCATCTGAAATTGCACATATCATTATATTTTCTTGGCAGCAGTTTATGGAAATAAGGGTTTCCTCTTCACATTACTAACAGTGAAATGATTGCTTGCATAGTACATTTATTTAGAGCAGCTCTTAGTGAAAAAAGGACATAACTTAATGTAGAACATTGCCTACAGTTGTGTGTAGTCTGCCATTGTTAACCCTTATTTTTAACTGAATGCAGGCTATTAAAGGAGGTCTGCTTTCCTCCTCCGATTATTTCGTTTAAAGTGTAGGGTGATTTTAACTCCTGGACTGCGGAATAATCTGATCGAGGGGCCTTTTTGCTGATTCTTCCTTGATTCATTTATGCTGCAAAATTAGTTTTAGGGTCTAGGGTGTCCAATTGCTGTTTTTTTATTTTTTTATTTTTTTCATGGGTTTTGCAATATCATAAAAGTCTGCAAAATGCAAAACTGTAAGAAGCAGGACAAATGCAGGTCATATGGAGGACAACTGCTGGTCAAATGCACTGGTCAGTGAGTTCTGAATTATCTCAAAAGTGGCTGAATCTGATGGCAAGCTGATGCCACCAGGACAAACCCAAAGCAAGCTGACACAAGCCCTTGTAATATCACTATTGAATATTGGGGAAGCCATACATTGGCCTGTGTGTGTACAGTTAGGTCCATATATATTTGGACACAGGCACAATTTTTTTTTTTTTTTTCAGGGATTTACCAAAACCTATTCAAGCTCTACAGTTATATAATGGATATGGGCTGAAAGTGCACACTCTCAGGTTTAACTTGAGGATATGTACATCCAAATTGGAGGAAGGGTTTAGGAATTACAGCTCTTAAGAGTAGCCATCCCCCTTTTTCAAGGGACCAAAAGTGATTGGACAATTGAATATAATAATAAATAAAATGTTCATTTTTAATATTTTTTTGAGGATCCTTTACTGGCAATGACTGCCAGAAGTCTGGAACCCATGGACCATTACCAAAGACTGGGTTTCCTCCTTTTTGATTTTTGCCAGGCTCTTAACTGCAGCTATCTTCAGTTCTTTGTTTGTGGGTCTTTCTGCCTTTAGTTTTGCCTTCAGCAAGTGAAATACATGCTCAATTGGGTTGACTCGGCCATTGCAGAATATTCCACTTTTCCTTCAAAAGCTCCTGGGTTGCTTTTGCAGTGTGTTTTGGATCATTGTCCATCTGTATTGTGAAGCGCCGTCCAGTCAACTTGGCTGCATTTGGCTGAATCTGGGCTGACAGTATATCTCTAAACATTGCAGAATTCATCCGGCTGCTTCTGTCTTCTGTCACATTATCAATAAACACCAATGATGACCCAGTGCCTGGAAGCCATGAATGCCCATGCCATCACACTGCCTCCACCAGTTTTACAGATGATGTTGTGTGCTTTGCATCATGAGCTGTTCCAAGCCTTCTCCACATTTTTTTTCTACCCGTCATTCTGGTACAGATTAATCTTAATTTCACCCATCCAAAGAATGCTTTTCCAGAACTGGTCTGGCCCTTTTAGATGTTTTTTTTTTGGCAAACTCTAATCTGGCTTTTCTATTCTTCAGGCTTATGAATGGTTTGCACCTTGTGGGGAACCCTCCGTAATTGCTCTAGTGAAGTCTTTCCTTGATTGTAGACTTTGACAATGATACGCCCACCTCCTGCAGAGTGTCCTTCACTTGTCTGGATGTAGTGAATGGATTTTTCTTTACCATAGATAGGATCCTGCGATCATCCACCACTGTTGTTTTCCTTGGATGTTCATGCCTTTTATGTTGCTGAACTCACCAGTGTGTTCTTCTTTCTTCCGAATGTACTAAACTGTTGATCTGGCCACTCCTAATGTTGCTGCTATCTTTCTGATGGATTTGTTTTTTTTTGAAGCCTTACAATGGCCTGTTTCACTTGCATGGACAGCTCCTTTGAAACGCATGATGTAGGTTCACAGCAATACATTCCAAATGCAAATACTACACTTAGAATCAACTCCAGACCTTTTACCTGCTTAACTGATGAAGAAATAACAAAGGAGTAGCCCACACCTGGCCATGAAACCTCTTTTGAGTAAATTGTCCAATTACTTTTGGTCCGCTGAAAAAGGGGGGGGGCTACTCTTAAGAGCTGTAATTTCTAAACCCTTCCTCCAATTTGGATGTACATACCCTCAAATTAAACCTGAGAGTGTGCACTTTCAGCCCATATCCTATTAAAGGCTATAGCTTGAATATGTTTTGGTAAATACCTGAAAAAACTAAAATTGTGCCTAACTGTACAGTACCTCACAGAAGTAAGTACACCCCTCACGTTTTTTGTAAATATTTTATTATATCTTTATGTGACAACAGTGAAGAAATTACTCTTTGCTACAAAGTAGTGAGTGTACAGCTTGTGTAACAGTGTAAATTTGCTGTCCCCTCAAAATAACTCAACACACTTCTATTAATGTCTAAACGGCTGGCAACAAAAGTTAGTACACCCCTAAGTGAAAATGTCCAAATTGGGCCCAATTAGCTATTTTCCCTCCCCAGTATCATGTGACTCGTTAGTGTTACAAGGTCTCAGGTGTGAATGGGGAGCAGATATGTTAAATTTGGTGTTATCGGTCTCACTCTCTCAGACTGGTCACAGGATGTTCAACATGGCACCTCATGGCAAAGAACTCTGAGGATCTGAAAAAAAGAATTTTTGCTCTACATAAAGATGGCCTAGGCTATAAGAAGATTGCCAAGACCCTTGAAACTGAGCTGCAGCACGGTGGCCAAGACCATACAGCGGTTTAACATTAACAGGATAGGTTCCACTCAGAACAGGCCTCGCCATGGTCGACCAAAGAAGTTGAGTGCATGTGCTCAGCTTCATATCCAGAGGTTGTCTTTGGGAAATGAATATATGAGTGCTAAGGACATGGATTACTGGAACCATGTCCTGTGGTCTGATGAGACCCAAGATAAACTTATTTGGTTCAGGTGGTGTCAAGCATGTGTGGCAGCAACCAGGTGAGAAGTACAAAGACAAGTGTGTCTTGCCTACAGTCAAGCATGGTGGTGGGAGTGTCATGGTCTGGGGCTGCATGAGTGCTACCATCACTGGGGAGCTGCAGTTCATTGAGGGATCCATGAATGCCAACATGTACTGTGACATACTGAAGCAGAGCATGATCCCCTCACTTTGGATACTGGGCCGCAAGGTAGCATTCCAACATAACCCCAAACACAACTCCAAGATGACCACTGCCTTGCTAAAGAAGCTGAGGGTAAAGGTGATGGACTGGCCAAGCATGTCTCCAGACCTAAACCCTATTGAGCATCTGTGGGGCATCCTCAAACAGGAGGAGGAGGAGCGCAAGGTGTCTAACATTCACCAGCTCCGTGATGTCGTCATGGAGGAGTGGAAGAGGATTCCAGTGGCAACCTGTGAAGCTCTGGTGAACTCCATGGCCAAGAGGGTTAAGGCAGTGCTGGAAAATAATGGTGGCTACATAATATTGACACTTTGGACCCAATTTGGACATTTTCACTTAGGGGTGTACTCACTTTTGTTGCCAGAGGTTTAGACATTAATGACTGTGTGTTGAGTTATTTTGAGGGAACAGCAAATTTACACTGTTATTCAAGCTGTACACTCACTACTTTACATTGTAGCAAAGTGTAATTTCTTCAGTGTTGTCACATGAAAAGATATAATAAAATATTTACAAAAATGTGAGGGGTGTACTCACTTCTGTGAGATACTGTGTATATGTGCATTTGACTTTGTATTAAGGTTAAAAAAAAAACTCTTTGCAAAGTGATTTTAACTTAATTACGATAGCAAAACACAAAATTACTGATTTCATAAGAATGCACCCAGTTCATTATACTACAACAAACTCATTACTGATGAAGCCAATTTGTTTCTAAAAATAAAATTAGTAACATACTGTATGTCTAGTCACATTTCTCTGGAAGATACAACTTCCAAGCCACATAATATCTCTTGGAGTAAAACAATCAGTCAATGGAAATATGGCACAACTGTAAATTTGCCAAGAACAGGACATCTTCCAAAAGTGAGTAACCATGTGTGGAGACAAATAGAGAAGGCCACCAAGAGACTTATGCCACACTGAAGGAATTATAAGCCTCAGATGTTGAAATTAGAGACAATATGCAATCAACAACTGCTGTCTGGTTACTTCTCCATTCTCAGATGGTAGAAAGGCAAAAATGAAATGTTAACTAATACAGCTTGCTGGAAGAGAAGTGAGACACTTAAATTGACAAAAATGATGTGGTTTTAGAGATCACATTTCTGTTGATCAGTTTAAAAAAAAAAAAATCTACTGTGATTCAATGTTTTTTACCTACCCCAGGCAGTGGAATATGCCACAGGTTCATGAACAGAAGCATTCTGCTCAGCAGAATGTCACTGTGTGTGTAAATTAAAAAAGGAGATTAATGACCGTGACAAAGGAGAACAATAGTTGCTGACCAAATATGGTTGGGTACTTCCTTTATCTTTGCAGGTCACTCAGGAAAAATGTTAGTTACCACGTTTGACAATTACCCTAAGAGGGAAACTGAATATATGTACTTAGACTGCATTTATAGTTGTGTTGTTGAGAAGTAAAAAAAGAAAGGTGTAGTAAATAAGCTTCAACAGGACCATCTTTCATAAGTATGTTGATAAATGCAACCAAAGCTTATAACCTTTTTTTTTTTTTCCCCCTTTCAGCCATATGTTTCTGACCCACCAATTATAAGAGTCACTCGTGGAAGTGTTTTCAGTGAAGTTATTTGTTTCTTCAACCACATAACGCACACAGTACGACTTTACAACGTTGAGGGTGAGCATGTGTTCTTGCTATGTGTTTATCTGAAATTCTAGTACCTGACATGTTTAGAAGTGTTATCAGGTATGTTTACTTTGCACATGAATTCTTTGTACTGAAATTCAATCAAGGACCAGCTGTGTAAAAATAGATATTAAAGAGACAATGTTATTTTGTGCAAATAAAGAGTGCATATCCATTATACACAAAGAAGAAAAGAGAAACTCCATTTAAGTGACAAGTTCTATTCACAGGGCATACATTCTGATACTTGCCTTCCCCACTCTGTTTTGGAGCTTACACAAGGTTAATGACCATCTCCCCTCCTATTCATGACCATTTTTGAGCCAGGCGATTGGCTACTCCCAAAACAAGGATTGTGTCCTAAGATAAATAGGAGAGGATCACATGCTCCTCAATACCTAAACAGTTTCATTTACTTCTATGAGCTCTGACAGCTTGAACATAACAGCATAGGAGCACAAATAAGGTGCATATGCATGCATGGAGGGTCCCCATCAAGAGAACCTTTCTCTTTGCTTTTAATAATCAGAGTTTCTCTTTTCTTTGTGTATAATGGATACGCACTCTTTTTGTTTTCACACCTTGCTAGTTAAACATTGAAATGTAACTCCAAGCCTAAATGTTTTTTCTAGTTTTGAATGAAGTGGAAACGGGTTTGAACCCCTGTCACTTTTTATTATGCTGTTTTTGTTGGTTAAATTTTTCAGAACTTTCTGTGCCAGAGATAAAGTAGAAAGTGAAAGGAAATCTCAAAGTGTAAATGGAAATGTCACTTTTAATACTTGTAACCAGAATAGATATCCTCGGTGTGGGTTGGTCCCGGTATATATTCTTTTCTTTACTATTGGGACAAGTACATTACACTAAATCCAAGCCCCAGTGAACGCAGTTATTTGGACCTCTTAACGGAAGAAAAAAGAAAAATGCATTCAGATTTTCAATTGCACCTGAAAGAACCATGAAACACCCTAAAGTCTTGACATTCTTTACATTGAAACATGTTATCCTAATCATTCAGTACAGGGCACAGGCACCTTAAGTCAGCGATAGATGGTTCAAACATGCTGAAGCAGCCAATATTCAAACCATGTATGAGCAGGCTGAATGTACCCAAGTTAATTGATCGATCAACTTGAGTACAACCAGCCTGTCGGATTTTTACTTGCAGTTATTGCCAGTGGCAATATAGGCGCTATCAATAATCACTGTGTTTTCCCGGCAGGGATGGCTCCCCCCCTTCCCGACCTGTGGTTTCAGGAAAGCAAATCGCTTGGTCTATGGCTGGATTTATTTATACACTGTAGGTTATATGATCATACCGTTAGGTAATTAGACACTGGCAGGCTTTTGAGGAGTGTACAGTTTACAAAACAAGTGGGCCATTCCTGTTTATCCTCCTATCTCTGTCCTAAACAAACATCTCACTATACTTATTGAAGATGTTTCATTTTTTAAAGATTCTGCTGACCAAAATTGAGACATTGGTTTGAAAGCTCTGCAACCAGCTCTTGCTATTTCTGTATGTCAGCTCACAGCTAACTGGACTACAAAAATGAACAACCAGCATGGCCCTGTTTTTTTCAGGATTGTACAGTTGCAGAGAAATTCCTTCCCTCTGCTCTTCTTTTTCATGTAGATGCCCTGGAACATGTCATTAGAAAATATCCAGAATGGCTCCAATCTTGGTTCATGTGTGCAGAATCCTTTAGCTGCATTGCACAGCAGAGGCTGTCTGTAAAAAGCGCTTCACACATATGCCTTTTCAAGAAAGATATCTATTTAGTGAGGCACTTGACCAATGCATAAGAGGTGTTGGATGGGAAAATTTTGCTTCCTCAGTGAAATGTGCTCCTTTCCCCTCAAACAAGAAATTCCTTGCCAGCAGGTCAGATCTACGATCTCAAAACCCGCTATTCCACCCTGTTTCACAGTCTTTGGCTTTAGTGGCATTGCTGTTGAAGCCCAAGTCCTACCAGAGGAGTTTGAGTCTTTGATTCACACTTTGCGAAAGAGCTAGAAAAACTACTTCCAGGAAGTTTTCTTATGAATAGCCTACTTCTCCTGTTGTGGTTGCAGTCAGTTTAATCCTAAAGACTACTCTGTTTCTTGCATTCTGGCCTTTCCAAAAACAGGTCTTAACCAGAATCTGGAGCTTTACACCCAAGTTTCAGCCGCCTTCATTTTTCAAAAGGCCTTTAGCATCTAATTCTATTTATAAAAACCTTTACTCAATGAGTTTCATGGAAGAGGTTCCGTGTGCTTCCAAGGACCTTAGTTTGTTCTCTTTAGCTTGCAGAAACCACCCTTTTGATCCCTTTTATCCCATCAGGTGATATTTCTTGAGAAATTCTTGCCAGCAATAGAGCCTTTCTGGTGGCCATCACGTCTGTCAGGCATGTTTCTGACTTAGCATCATCCTCCTGTAAATAGCCTTTCCTCATATGTCACAACAAGGTTCAGTTACTCCCCTAGCCCATCCTTTCTTCCAAAGGTGGTTTCAGCATGTCAACTCATCGAGGACATTGTTTTACCACCTTCGTGCCCTGCTGCTAAGCACCTAAAGGAAATTTCTCTACATTGCCCAGACATAGAGCCATTACATTAGAGTGTACCTAAAAGCTTCTGTTCTATCAGACAAGCAGGTTCCCTATTTTTTCCTTTGCTCTGGTACTCGCAAAGGGAGCCCCCAGTTCAAAATTCATACATTACAAGGCGAATAAAGGATTTGATTGGTAGAGCCTGTTCTCTAAACCATTGATCTCCAAGCTGCGGCCCAGGGGCCGGATGTGGCCCTTTGGTTGCTTGTATCTGGCCCTTGGGGTTCTATTCCTCCCACTGATATGAGGCATCATTCCTTCCACTAACACCAATGTTGGGACATGATTTCTCCCACTGATTTAAACTACATACACTATTACTTCCAATAACACTAAAGATGGTGCACTTTTTCTCCCATTGGTACATCAATGGGGTACTATTCCTGCCACTGACCTCAACAATGGGGCATAATTCCATCCACTGTTATAAAATATAGAGCACTATTACTCCCGCTAACACTAAAGATGGGGCACTTTTCCTCCCACTTATACAAATTGATGGTGCACTGTTCCTGCCACTGACACCAATGTTGGAGCATTAGTCCTTCCACTGACACCAATGTTGGAACCTGGTCCTTCCACTGACACCAGTATTGGGGAAAATTTTTCTTTCATTGATACCAGTGTTGGGGAGCCATTCATTCCACTGACACCAATGTTAGGGCACTATTCCTCTCACTGATATCAATAATAGGGCACTATTCCTTCTACTGACACCAGTGATTGGGCACTATTTCTGCTGCATTTTCCACTCCCACTGGTTACAGTCCAGCCCCTCGAAAGTCAGAAGAACAGAAAAGTGGTCCTTTGTTCAGAAAGTTTGTAGACCCATGCTCTAAAACATAAACCTCTACCTGAGCTCTTACGTGAACTCTCCATCAGATTTGTCGGAGTATCTTGGGCCTTTAGGAACTAAGCCTCTGTTGCCCAATTCTGTAAGGCCACCACCTTGTCTTCTGTTCATACTTTTTCAAAGGATTACCAGGGGGCTATCCAATCTTCACATCCACAAGATTCTTGCAGCAGAATTCAAGACCTAGTTATTAGCAAACCTTATATTCCTTGCTTTGGGACACCTCACAGTGTATGAATAAGATGCCTGTGTCCTGTTCTGTATGATTAAGATTAGAGGAAATTTAACTTGTAAATGCCATATCTTAGAGTAAAGTACAGGACACAGGGCTACCCTTCCCAAATTATCCTAGTTACTCTGCATTGCTTGCTACAGAACTCAGAGGACAAAGAAGAGTAGGGTGGTAGGGGAGGCACCCTGGGTTAGGTTGGGGGGTGGGGGGTGTCCTCGGTACCTTGCCAGTGTACAATATCCTAAAAGTACAAGCCTATAACCCATAATGTATGAATAGGATGCCTGTACTGTACTCCAAGATATAGAATTTACAGGTACAGTTGTGCTCAAAAGTTTGCATACCCTGGCAGAAATCATGACATCGTGAATTTTTGTAATAAACTTTATTTTATATAGCACCTTTTAAGGGTAGCTTCTCAAAGCGCTTTACAAAGAAAACAAACAAGAAATACACAGGATAGAACAAAGGAAAAAAAAGGGATCATTAAGTGAAAGCTTGTCTAAAAAAAATAAGATTTGATTTGCATGTGTTTAGAGAAGAGGTTTCGATCATAGCAAGATAAGGCTTTGTCTTCCATCAAGTGTAGGTGAGTGGAGGGGACACACAGAAGAGCAGAATTTGAGGAGCAGAGATTACGGGGAGGCTGAGTAACTTGATAAATGGTTGAACAGATAATGGGGCACCAAGCCATGAAGAGCCTTATAGGTGAGCAGGAAGATTTTAATGATGGGTAGCCAGTATAAGGAATCCAGGATAGAGTAAATATGATCACTTGTACCAGACCTAGTAAGAATTCTGGCTGCAGAATTTTGTACAATTGATTAGTAGTGGATTTATAGTTGTGTAGTTGATTAATAGTGGATTTAGGTACACCAGTGAGTAGAGCATTGGAATAGTCAAGTCAGGAGAACACAAATGTATGGATCAACTTTTCAGCTACAGTGTGTGATAGCATAGGATGCAGCCAAGTGATGTTTCTCAAGTGAAAAAAAGATGTTCTGACAACATATTGTACATATGGATCAAAGGTAAAATAAGGTAAACTAGCATCAAATATCTCTCCTAGAGTTTTCAATTTAGACTGCAGCTCAAGTACATTGCCATCGATAGGCTACCAGGACTGGTCTTACACAATGGATGGGAGGTGCCAATAAGCATGAATTCCGTATTGTCACAGTTTAATTGACGGATATTATGAGCCATCCAAGTTTTTATATTGTAAATACAGTTAGGAGAGAAACAGCCAAAGTAGAATTTGGTTTAGTGTGGATGTATATCTGAATGTTGTCAACATAGAAGTGATAAT